TATTAAAATATTATAAGTTCTTGCATCTCACATGTGGACAACTATTTAAGAAAGAAGTCCTTAGTTAGGGGGCAAAATTCACCTTTCAATTTGAATATATATTATCGATTATGACTATTACACTACACCTATATATAATCCTGTGATTTCTCAGCAGTCCAATTTTCTTACCCCACTAAAAAGTTAAGAAGTTTCTTGGCTGGCCCCTAACCGCACCAAAGAGTGATCAAGTATTGTTCTTTCACAAAAATAATGATTCCCTAAGTTTTCTTTTCGCAAAAGTAATCAATAAAAACAAGTATATATTACTCTACAAGTTTCAGTGATGAAGGTGGTCAGGATTTGAACTAGGTACACACAAAAACGTTACCAGAATTTCATGATGAAAATTGCTAGTGGATTTTTTCCATTAACACATTAGAGGGATTTTTTGTGTCAAACTAAACTTCAGCTTTTTGGTTGTCATGCTCCTATTGACTATTATTGACTGATGAGAAGAAAAAACTAGTCCACAAGTGTCAAACAAGTACTATGGGCGGTGACATGTTTCATCATAAATACATGAAACTTAAATAGGTTTATATTTATATATATACACATACACGCATCAACCGCTTCATATAGGGTTGATAAACTTTAACTCCTGAATTCAACTGTGGTCTTCTTTCTCTTTTCTGATTTTGCAAGTCTAAGGAAAAATGGTTTCAGCTTCTTCTCCTCCTTCTAAGGCAATGGTATCATAGTGTTACTAATGTGATCTAGTCTATATTTCTATTCAAGACTAAACTCGTTTGTTGTGTCATGTTTTTCTTATTCTTGTTGCATGTTCTGCACTTTTAGGAACTTCAATCAGATAAAAAATGTGTGGAGAATGGTCCTACTCGCAATGCCAAATGGTGGTACTCAACTTTTCACACTGTGACAGCCATGATTGGTGCAGGTGTTCTCAGTCTGCCCTATGCCATGGCATATCTAGGATGGTAAAGTAGAAATCTAAGCCTATGGCTTTAACATATATCACAAAAAGGTGATAACTTGAACAATATATGTAGCTGAAAGTCAACACTTTTTTCTTATCTTTGCAGGGTGCCAGGGACCTTGATGTTGTTGTTAGCTTGGTGTCTGACCTTAAACTCAATGTGGCAAATGGTCCAACTCCATGAGTGTGTTCCTGGAACTCGGTTTGATCGATACATTGATCTTGGTAGACATGCTTTTGGACCAAAGTTAGGACCATGGATTGTGCTGCCGCAGCAACTGATTGTCCAAGTTGGGTGTGACATTGTTTATATGGTCACTGGAGGGAAGTGCCTAAAGAAGTTCATGGAGGTTGCTTGCACCAATTGCACACAACTCAAGCAGTCCTATTGGATTCTCATTTTTGGTGCCATCCATTTCTTTCTGTCTCAGCTTCCCAATTTCAATTCTGTAGCAGGGGTTTCTCTAGCAGCTGCTGTGATGTCACTAAGGTACTTCTTGATCCCCACATGCATATCTAGGGGAATTTTCATAATGGTCCCAAAATATTAAGTGCGTGAGTAGTTTTAAATCAAGACCACTTGTTTTGTATTATGAAATAGTAATCTTATTAATTATGATGGTTTTGATGCAATAATCATTTTTGGCCTTTATAAATTTTGGAACCATTGGAAAAGTGACTCATGTTTATATTTTTATGTAGTACTAGCTTTTAGATATGATTAATATTTATCAGTTTTGAGTGCCTGCTTAGCTGGGTTGACATTTTACACCATGTAAAGTATATTCCTGGGAAAAATATTGTTTGGATTCTTCCCAGAATAAGTCATCCATGTGAAAACTGGAAAGCATAAACACTTGTCCTTGAAGCTCAGAATAGGAAGAATAATTTTTTTTCTAGAAAGATGACAACAAATTTACCCTTTTAGTTATGTCTGAACAAGCAGAGCCATATGACTTTTAAAACTTGGGTGAGTCTGTTGACAAAATTGTACTTTCAGGAAAAAGATCTTTTCCAGAAAATGAGTTGAATAAATTAAAATAAAATAAATGATATTATTATATTGTTTTAATCCCGTGACTTCTAATTAGGTTGTAATTTACACTATCTCCAATGCCTAAAAGTTTGGCTACTGATATTACATATTTTAAAATTATAATAAAAATCAACCGAATTAACGTAGTAGTTAATTAATATAGTAGTTAGGTATTATGAGTCAACATGTTGTAATAATGATCTAATTATTGAGAATTTAGATTCTTGTCATGTGCAAAAATTCGTTGGATAAATTATATTATCATAAACGAAATTAGTCAAATGAACTCAAGATATTTGTGATGAGAATAAAAAAGTAATATTAAAAATTATAATTACTTGTTGAACAATGAACCACCACTTACCTCACATAACAAAGGATCTTTTGTTCTTTTCTTTGCCATTTTGGGATAAATTCAATCAAGAACATGTGAGATATATCAAAAGAAAAGTTGATTAGATCTTTTGTCTCTGATTTCAAAAGATCTACCTTACTCTAATGGTGCTTTGATTTCAGCTATTCAACTATATCCTGGGTGGCTTGTTTGGATAGAGGTCGTGTTGACAATGTTAGCTACGCATACAAGCAAACCAGTTCTGCTGACTTAATGTTCCGAATGTTCAATGCACTTGGTCAAATTTCATTTGCATTTGCTGGCCATGCTGTGGCCCTTGAAATTCAGGCCACAATTCCATCAACCCCTGAGAAGCCCTCAAAGATACCAATGTGGAAAGGTGCTATTGGTGCCTATGTCATCAATGCCATATGCTATTTCCCAGTTGCACTTGTAGGATATTGGGCCTTTGGAAGAGATGTTGAGGATAATGTGCTTATGGAATTTGAAAAACCAGCATGGCTCATTGCCTCAGCTAACTTGATGGTGTTCATTCATGTCATTGGTAGCTACCAGGTACCATCACAACACTAGGATGCACAAAACTTATACTTCCTTGTGTTTTTGATATTGTTCTCTAATTAGAATTGGAGTTTTACTTCATTAATATATATATGTAAATATATATTGTTGAGATTTATATTAAATGTAAATGTTTTATCGATATACAATTCCTTCCCAAATTAAACTACTCTATTATTTGACCTTATTAATGTGGAAACATTGAATTCCAGGTTTATGCTATGCCTGTTTTTGACTTGATTGAGAAGATGATGACCAAAAAATTGAACTTCCCTCCGGGACTAGCACTTAGACTTGTTGCTAGATCTACTTTTGTAGGTGAGATTTTCAAAGCCATTTATTTTTTTGGTTTAAGATCACATGTATCCCTCAATGTTTCTTGAAACTATAAGCAGAAAATTTCTCTCTCAAACTTTAATGTGGCTATATACATACACTAAGAATTTAAATTTAAGATTACTGATTAAGCTAGAATAGCCCTATTTAATCGATGTGCTTGGTGGTTTTCACATCCATCTATGCTGTCACTGCAAAGCTATTTTCTCCCCCTTGGTTGTTATTTGTATGAAAATTGTTGAAGTAACCAAAGATTGGTAAAATGTTACAGCTTTTACCTTGTTTGTTGGGGTCACATTCCCTTTCTTTGGTGATCTTCTGGGGTTCTTTGGTGGCTTTGGTTTTGCTCCTACTTCATACTTTGTGAGGCTCTCTTCTTACCATCTCAATTTCCTCATGCTTATATTAAACTACCAAATTTACAAGAGTTAATTTAGAACATAGAAGATTAACAAATTTGGTGTATCGGTTGTTCAGCTTCCTAGCATAATGTGGCTGATAATCAAGAAGCCAAAGAGATTCAGCATCAACTGGTTCATCAATTGGGTAATGATATATTTATTTTAACAACTTTTTTAAATAAAAAAAAAATTGTAAAAGTATATACAGAGAATGCACAATTAGATTATCACTGTTCAGAGTTGTTTCCTCTCGGCATTGACCCTCAATTTTTTTTGTGTTTCTCAGGCTTCAATATACATTGGGGTGTGCATTATGTTGGCATCTACAATTGGTGGCTTAAGGAACATTGTTACTGATGCCTCTACTTATAAGTTTTACACCTAAAATATGTTATATTATTGCAAAACTATGCAGTATCAGCAATTAATCTAGATTTGCTGAGTATGTATCTAATTAACAGTGTCCTTTGTTCCTATATATAAGCTGCAACCCTTTTAGTCCTCTTTCTCTCAGTTTATTTAATAACTTAAGCAGTTTTTAATTCTCTGTGTAGTAGTTTTAAATTTAAATTATCTGCATCAAGTGAATTAATACTTGACTTATAAAGTCTCCTATAGAATATGAAAGGTTGGGCTGGTACATTTTAGGATGTGTTAAAATAATGTTTGTTTGGTGAAAATCATGTTTTGCAAAAACAAATTAATGATTATCAATTTTAAAATGTTTGTATTTAGTGATAGCAATGGGTAAGATTGGTAGGTTTTCACTATCCTCCTCCTCCTTATTTTTATCTTATATTCATCTTTGTTCTTATACTCGATGATATATGATTTGTATTCTCATCTCTACTCTAGTTGAATATCGAGTATATTTGTACTTGTCAAAAAATTAATTAAATATTTTTTTAAAAAAAATATATAAAAAAATTATCGTAAAATAATAATTATAAAATTTTATTAATTAAGTTTCGTTTACCATAAATTTAAAATATAATAAGAATTATATAAATGTCAAATACATTTTTTAAAAAATAAATTAAGTTTCTAAAAATTTAAGACAAGTATAGTTACGACCGTACGAGACATATATATCCATCCACATCCTCGTACCCAATTTAACTAATTAAGTATTATTTATACTCGTACTTAGTTAAATTAGATATTTTTTATTAAAGTCAAAACGAATTCAAGTATTATCTCTGATACGAATTTATTTGTCACGTCTACTTGTACCATGCTCATGAACAATAAAAAATAAATTACATTTTAAGTTTAATTTTCACTATCAGTGTCAAAGATAATATGGAGTAATTTTTCAAAAATTTATGAGTGCATATAAAAGTACATATGCTAATCAAAATTAATTACTAATGCTTTGTTTGTTAATTTTCCGAACCTAAATTGATACTCTCTGAATTTATATGTAACTAAAAAATTTATAGAGATTAAAAAGATAGTTAAATACATTTAAATTTTACAATTTCATATAATGTATATAACATTTTTAACATATCTTTAATCATATTAGTTATATATATTGTTCTCATTTATAGTCTTAAAAATATTTTTGAATTAAGAGTATTAAATAAAGTTGACTTAATTAAAATTTATTTATATTTAAATTTAAAAATTTAAGTATTTTTATTTATATGTAGTTTCAGAAATGTTCATGTTAAACATATTTAAATTTTGTACATAAAAATTTATTTAAGCAAAATCTACGAGAAAATAAAGCATAATTTAGACCTAGTTTTTGCTTTCATTTGCAAATTGCAAGACTTCGAACCTTATTGGTACGTTAAGAAAAAAGTGCTAAGCTTCGAAATTAAAAATGAGAATTAGGTTTCTCTTGTAAAATAAGCATGTTCCAAAGACACTTTTTATTAAAGTGATCACAACCTTTTACGCCATGATGGCGTCATTATGACAGTTTCGTAAAGAAGAACTTATAACACAATTATGTTATTGGTGAAATATTGTAAGATGAATAAACTTTAATTAAGTTGTCGTCGTCTTCTCATGATGTAACGCCTCAACTAACAAAATTTACTTCAATAAGTTTCATATGATTTTTTTTTAACATAAAAAAGTTTTTAAATTTTAAAAGAATTTATAAAAATTTAATGATTTTTAAGATTTTTTAAAAGATTTTGTAAGAATGTAAAATTTTTTATAATTTTTTAACATACTTTTTTAATTTCTATTTAAAAAGAAAATACAAATACTAGAAGGGAGTGTAAAAAGAAGTCAGACATAACATTAAGTATTTTTATACTAGTTTATCCTAATTTTTGAGATTATATTCAGTTATCAATATAACCGGATTGAGTTTAATTATCTTTCAACAAAGATACAAGTATTATTTCAACAAGTTACTTTTAGTTCAACTCTAAGTATTCTTTGACATGCTTCTTCAAGTATTACTCAAGTATTTTTTTTAACAAAAAACATCTCTAGGCTTAATAACCAGGTATTCTTTTCAATTAAACCTCTTCAGGCTCAAACAACTAAGTATTATTTTCAACTAAGCCTTTCCAGACTCAAACAAGTATTGTTTTATGAGTCTCTCTAGGCTCAAACAACCAAGTATTTTTTTCAACTAAGCCTCTCCAAGCTCAAACAAGTAATATTTTATAGACAAACCTCTCCAGGCTCAACCTTATAACAATGATTATGAAGGTTATAGAGATGTTGTGTTCATCTCACTTATACGTTATACAACTATTATAGAGCAATAAGCTTTTACAAGAAAGAATGAAGATTATACACAAGTATAATTTGCAAAAAGTGTTTCTTCTTATATGTTTTTGTACAAGTCTCTTGTCTTCTTTCTTAAGCTTCAAATTTTCTTATATAATAGTTAGGAGAAGATGATCCTTGCAACACTTTTAATCTAGCTCACAAATTTACTTCGTTTGTCTTCAACGTTTTTCCTCGAGATGGGAGGTAACTATTGATTAATTTAATAAACATTAAATGTATTTCACCAAATGATATCTCTTATATGATCAAGGAAGGTACTTATCATCTTTTCATACCAAACAACGCTTGTAGAAGCAATGTTAGCAAAGTGCAGTAGCAGTAGTGACTTTGTCTATTTTTCTTTGTAATTTTAGGGATCTTCATCCTTGATCATGAAAAAAAAGCATGATCTTGTTATCTTTAACAGATTTGTAAGTTCTAAGATGATTTCTAGTTCAATTGTTAAGAAGTAAGACATTCAAAATGAATTTTATTGTTAGTCTCAATAAATGATAAACATTTAATGAATATGAGACAAATTATATGCTTCGTCTCAAAACTTGAGGGATCGTCTTTTGACTTAAAAATCTCTCTCTTTTCGATAGTGACAAACACAATTTTGTATTTTTGAAATGTCCATTTTTCTTTGTCTTAGAAAATATTTTTGATTTGGTAAAATGAAAAGACTTTTGTCTTTTTGAAAGGCTTTCATCTTTCAAAAGATGTTTTCTTAAAAGCGTTTTGACTTTTTAACCTTAAATTTTTCAATTTTTCCTAAGACATTTTTCTTAAAAAAATGCATAAGCGGATTAAAATTGTTTTTTATCAAAGTAATGTAAGACACATATCTAAAACGTTATAAGATCATTCAAGCAAATTGATTTTTACAAGTACATTTTTTAAAAACATGTATTTTCTCACATACACTTAATTCTATCATCATTTGATATAGCGTTTGAGATAAACTAAGAAATCATAATAGGGTAGTTAGAATGATATTAAATTTTAATTCTTAAAGCCTGTTTGACTAATATCTTATGAGTTCTAGTCTAAGCATTTCACAACTAAATCAGAGTATACAAAAGTATTTTATATATGACATAACATGCTTGTTGCATAACATGCTTGTTTTATCTCTTTCTTATCATGCACATCAAAGCATATTTAGGTGATATATGCGATGCATAGGGACTCCTAATGAAAACATGCATGATCTGACAAATATAACTTGCATAAAACTTGACATTAGAGAAAACATGCATAATATGTTCAATGTAAAACTTGTTTAGAGTAGGGAACTATAAAATTACTAGAATTTTTAAAGTGAAAGTTGTAAAATTGTTTAGAATTTTAAAGAATTTGATCAGAGCATTCAAAAAATTTTAAAAAAAAATATTAAAGTAAACAATCAAAAACTTTAATCTCACTCTTCTTTTTGACATACGGGATATGCTCCTATATGGTCTTTTAATCTTTCTTTAATCTTTAGTATCTTAACACAAAACTATGCATGAATTAAGCTTCAATTAACACCTCAACCATACAAAGATATAAATCACATGCAACCAGTTTTAACCATGTTAAGATACTAATCAATGATTACACAATTAAAAAGAGTAAGGATGAGAGAAAATGCAAAGTGATTTATCTTGGTTCAGCCACTCCATGTGTAGCCTACATCCAGTCCTGAATCAAAATCTGATCAAAATTTGTCCACTATTTTTATGTAAGAAGTTTTACAATCACACACCACACATGCAATATACTCCTACATACAAGATACAACCTTTCTTGCACCCAAGAAAGCACTTCTTGCAGTAACACACCACAAGAGTTCCTATACTTGAGAAACCACATTACACAAAAAGAATTGAGGAATGAATTCACCTGAAAGCTGAACAAATGAGATTGTGAATTCTTAGACAAATCTTTGTCCTTCTCTTCAAGAATGTAGTGATGATTATGAGATCTTCAAAACATTTCATAAATTTTTTTTACTTCTTGGTTTCACAAAGAAAACACTCCAAGAAGATCACAGAGATCAAAAGTTTCACAAAGTTTACTCACTATATCTCTTTTATATGTTTCTAAATGAGAAATGCATTTTTATAAAGTTTTCAGGCTCAAATTGATGGAAATCTAATCCCCAAGGATCCCTTTGGAAGAGGTAAGACCAAGAAGGGTGAAGGTTGATCCAAGGAGGCTCACACTTGAAGACCATTGGGCCTTTAACTAAGTCCATGGTTAGGAGGCTAGAGGAGGCTTTTAGAGAGGAGGTGCTTCTTAGACCTATGCTCAATATGAGTATTGAGTATGATTCCTCTTTTTAGTCTCAGTCTCTATTGTACATACATTGTATAGTTTGATTTCTTGTACCTTGTATATAGTAGATACTTGTATAGGTGTATTTTTGCCTTTGTATTTGTGAGACACTTTATTTCCTTTTATTAGTGTAATATTCTAAATTTATGATACAATATTATCATATATATATATATATATATATATAGATGACATCCAACAATATTATAAATATTTATCATATTATGATTATATATAAAATTATCTATTACAACTTATATATTTTAATAGGTAATTAAATTAATTAGTATAAATAAATAGTGTTTTATTTTATAAAATTTTATGTTCAGTAAGATAAATATATATATATATATATATAAATATATATATATATATATATGTGTGTGTGTACTAATTAATTATATTATAAATATTGTTTATGAAAAATAACTTATTATAAA